TGAGATAACTCTATCACGGTTTATTATTATAAAAAGTATAACGGTACTAAGCTATGCTAAAATGCTAATGGACGATTATATGCTCTGCTAATAGTTACGAATGCACCCGGTTTGCTGTCCGAATATGCACTGATGTCGCCGCGCACTTAAGGCGACCGCGTTAGGTTGCTAGATCAGCAAAAGGTGTTCGATCGTAATTATTACATCGAACAATATATATTTATGATATCTGTTTTAGATATACCTTGGAGGAGGTACTGGTACACTTCGTCTATTCTGCACTGATGTGAATTCTACCTTATCTATTGCCCCTGTTGATTATGTGAACAACACTATCATAGCTGCTGCTTGGGACTCGTCAGAGAGGCGAAAAAATGGCGAAACTGAAATTCCTATTTACACTATTGCGAAAAATTTACGATATGGTGAGTAAATTAAAATAATAAGTAAATCTGACGGTGGCGCTTTGCAAGTCTCGACACGTTGTACTGAATATGGAATATGCAAGTTTTTACAAGTGACAGAATCTGCCTACATTGATAGGTGAAGTCAAGCCAACAGTTTAGTTCTTACCTATCGAAAGCAAATTAATTTTCATGGGCACGGGGGTGTCCATGAAAATTTGTAAGGGGGAGAGGGGTCTCCCCCTTCCAAATTGTGAACCCTCAATGTTTTGTCGCGCCAACGTAGCCCATTGAGAGAGTTACCGGTAAACGGGAGACCTGGACCATTTGGGGAACTAAAGACTTAATCTGTGTCTGAGTGTAATTTATTTACAATATCACGTTTATGTTCAGAAATACTGAAGTATGTTTATTAACAGTCTGTTTACGATAGCAAGGCTCTGCCTAGTTTGGGAACAGCCTGCTATTTCTTTATTTATTTTGGATCACCAACAAGGAATACACCTTACATGCTATAATGACATTAGGGTTACAAAGTTCAAGTTAGTGTGCTTCCTTAATAACAGGCGACCACATCATGCAAAAAATTATACAAATATTTTTTTTTGTTCTTGGTTTGTTAAGAAACAAGATTTATTTATATGTTAACATTTATTGTAATATTCCCTCTTTTATTTTTTATGCCCAATTACACAAACATAAAAAGCGACAGCAACACAACAATCTGAGAAGAATTCAAAATCAAAAATCAAACGCTTAAAAACTAAATTACAAATTGAGTGCTCAGAAGTAAAACTATGTGTGAGATGTGTAAAATTATTATTATTATACATTCAATTTTCACCATCACTCATGTTCTTAGCAGGCTTTTAAAACATTCTCAAGCCCTTCGCCTAAAACTCTCTCTCATTTTTCTTCTCTCTATTGATTTCAGGTTTTATAGGAGAAACGATGCGCAAGGAAAAAAAGAGGCTTCTGTCTCCAAAAATTGTGTGGAGATGTAGTATGCTGCAAGTGAAGAGTAGACTGTTATATAATATTCTCTCCTGGTTTCTCTTATACATACCAGCTTATATCCTGGATTTCGCCTGCTTTGTGAGCGGAAAAAGACCGAAAGAAATTTCTTCGTAAGTATATATTTCTTTTCATAATTAAGATTTTTTTGCACTAAAGACTTAGTTTAGGATTGCATAATTTCCAATATAATATACACACTATCTTTTGCCCGTGGTTCCGCCCGCGTATATATCGGTAAGTAAAAGTAAAAGTAGCCTATGTTATTCGCTGATATGTAGCTTACGATTGGTGAGAGAAATTTTAAAATTAGTTTAGTGGTTAAGGCGTGAAACAATCAAACAAACAAGCAAACAATCAAGCAAAAAAACAAACTCACTTTCACATTTAAAATATAAGTATGGACGTCTCTATCAATCGTGGTCAACTCGGTCCTCGTACCGGTTCGGGCCAAGATGAAATATCTGGGCCTGATCCTCGACGGGAGGTGGCTCTTCGACGAGCACTTCCGACAGCTTGCTCCAAAGCTGGTCGGCGCTGCGTCTGCCCTAGGGCGACTTTTGCCCAATTTGGGTGGACCCAGCGTCGCGACAAGATAGCTGTACACGGGGGTTGTCCGGTCAATGGCACTATACGGTGCACCGGTGTGGGCTCCGGCTCTGACCGCCCAGAATAGGGCACGCCTCTGGCGCCCTCTTATTGTATATGCGGTCAGAGCCATACGCGGTTACCGCACCGTTCCGACGGAGGTGGCTTGCGCGTTGGCCGGAACTCCCCCGTGGGATTTGGAGGCGGAAGTGCTCGCCGAAGTTTATCGGCGAGTGGCTGACTCCCGGGCGGAGAGCGGATTTCGCCCTCCGCCCGAAGACGTGCGCGAGTGGCGCGAAGCCGCTCGCCGAGCCACGATGACTCGTTGGTCGTTCCGGCTGGGCGGCAGCACGGGACCCTTACCTTCCGGCTGACGCAGGTGCTTTCCGGGCACGGTTGCTTCGGAAAGTACCTGCACTCGGTCGCTAGGAGGGAACTGAGTCCCGCCTGCCACCACTGCGACTACAGTGAGGACTCGGCCCAGCACACGCTGGCGGTCTGCCCCGCATGGGCGACGCAGCGCCGGGCCCTCACTGCAGTCATCGGAGTGGATCTCTCGCTACCGGCCGTAGTACGCTCCATGGCCGGTAGCGACAGTTGTTTTACCGCGGTCGCAACCTTCTGCGAGGAAGTAATCTCGCAGAAGGAGGCGGCGGAGAAGGCCCGGGAGGACGACCTCCACTCGGACCCGATCCGCCGCCGGCGAACCGGGCGGCGGAGGCGCGCTTATCACCGCCTCATGCCGCCCTGAGTCCGACACACCACCCCGCCGCAAACCCCGGTGGGGTGACGGTCCGAGGGGATTTCCACACGTTAAAAAAAAAAAAGGTGTACTACATGCCCACATCTTGCTAATTGTAATAATTAGCCCTCCTTATGTAATGGAGGGTAAATTTATTACCGTATACCGAGCACTTCAGGAGTTAGATGGAAAACTCTGTGTAATGACGAACTAAGAATACGGAGTGACACTGCCCCTATCATCTCGTGGATGTCGTAAGAGCCGACTAAGGGAACAAGCTACTACAGCACTGCACAAAGAAGGGAAAGAAATTTGAGACAAAACCTTTTTTTATGTTTGGGGTTTACAGTGATCACAGATGTGATACTGGTACTGATACTGATACTGATACTGGTATCTAGGAACAGCTGTTATTAAAACATTCGGACCCCTCCTGGCGCCCGCCCGCATTAGCGCGAGCACCATCACTGCTGCCGCCGACCGTGAATCACAATCCCCTGAGTGTAAGGAGCTGGTAAGCGCACCTCCGCCGCCACGACCTCCTAGAGATCCGCTCCTATGACTGCAATGAGGACCCGACGTTGCGACGCCCAACCCGGGCAAATTGCCAGTATGTGCTGAGCCAAGTCCATATTGCAATCGCAGTGGTGCCTTTCCCTTCTAGTGACCGAGTGCAGATACTTTCCGAAGCAGCCATGCCCGGAAAGGACCTGCGTCAGTCAGAAAGAAAAGTTCTCGTGCTGGCGCCTTGACCACTCGACAATGACCAAAAATAACCTGCACGTGGAACCTCCAGCCGGGCCGACCAACGAAGACCAACTAACATCGTGGCTCGACGAGCGGCCTCACGCCACTAGCATACTTCTTCGGGCGGGGGCCGACTGCCGCTAACCGCTCAGAACTGAGCCTTCCATCGATATACTTCGGTTAACACTTTCACCTCCAATTAACACAAACGCTTTTTTTTTTACGTGTTTAAATCCCCTCGAACCGTCACCCCGCCGGGGTTCTCTATTCGGTGGGGCGGTGTGTCGGACTCGAACCGACTAAAACCACACGGTGTGCCCTCTTTGCGCTTCTATTTTAGGTTGGGTCCAGGTAGTTATAGCCTTCTGGACTCCTCCCAGCGCCGGCCCGCTCCTGGTGCGGGCTCCGTCTCTAATTCCTCTCTTTAGTCGACGTCCACACGCCACACGCGGACTCCGCCCCCTCGCGGCTGGCCAAACTAATGCGGGTGGAGGCGAAAACCCATCCCGTCCACCCGCGGCCACACTCGGGGCGGCATGAGGCGCAAGTAAGCGCGCCTCCGCCGCCCGGTTTGCCGGAGTGGAGGTCGTCCTCCCGGGCCTTCTCCGCCGCCTCCTTCTGCGAGATTACCTCCTCGCAGAAGGTTGCGACCGCGATAAAACAACTGTCGCTACCGGCCATGGAGCGAATTACGGCCGGTAGCGAGAGATCTGCTCCGATGACTGCAGTGAGGGCCCGGCACTGCGTCGCCCATGCGGGGCAAACCGCCAGCGTGTGCTGGGCCGAATCCTCACTGCAGTCGCAGTGGTGGCAGGCGGGACTCGATTCCCTCCTAGCGACCGAGTACAGGTACTTTCCGAAGCAACCGTGCCCGGAAAGCACCTGCGTCAGCCGGAAGGAAAGGGTCCCGTGCTGCCGCCCCGCCCACTCGGCGATGACCGGCTGGAGAGCCTTCACGGCGGCGAAGCCAGCGCGTGGAGTCTCCAGCCGGAATGACCATCTGAACATGGTGGCTCGGCGATCGGCTTCGCGCCACTCGCGCACGTCTTCGGGCGGAGGGCGAAATCCGCTCTCCGCCCGGAAGTCAGCCACTCGCCGATAAACTTCGGCGAGCACTTCCGCCTCCAAACCACAGGGGGGTGTTCCGGCCAAGCCGCCTCGGTGGACACCGTGCGGTATCCGCGTATGGCTCTGACCGCCAATATCCTCTTTGGGCGCCAGAGGCGCGCCCTATTCGGGGCGGTCAGAGCCGCCACCCACACCGGTGCACCATAAAGCGCCATGGACCGGACAACCCCCGCGTACAGCCGCCGCGTGGGAACACTGGCCCCGCCCAAATTGGGCAAAAGTCGCCCTAGGGCGGAGGCAGTGTCCACCAGCTTCGGACCAAGCTGTCGGAAGTGCTCGTCGAAGAGCCACCTACCGTCTAGGACCAGACCCAGATACCTCATCTGGGCCCGGACCGGTACGAGGACCGAGCCGACTTCGATTGAGGTGCCGGCCACGGCGGGTGGACCACGACGGGGCCCATGAAATAATAGGGCCTCCGTCTTATCCAGGGCCACCCGTAATCCCAACGCCTCAATGCGCCCGAAAACCTGGGAAACTCCCGTGGCGGCCAGGCGCGCCGCCTCCTGGAAGTTAGCCCCTCGGGCCGTGAGCAAGGTGTCATCCGCGTAGCAGATTACACCCAGCCCGGGGTGGAGACGCCCTCGTAGGGCCCAGTCGTACCCGATGTTCCACAGGAGAGGTCCTAGGACAGACCCCTGCGGAACACCGCACGACATAGCCGTGCGTCTCAAGACGCCATCTCGGTCCTCGTACATGACGGTTCGCTCCTCAAGATAGTCTGCCACCAGCCGCCTCAGGTACTCCGGCACTCCGTGGTAGCGGAGCGCTTCCCTGATGCAGCTGAATGGCAGACTATTGAAGGCATTGGCGATGTCCAAGGACACCGCCAACACACCACTCCGCCGCAGCTCACGGCCTCCTCGGTCACGGCCCTAAGGCGTATTACGGCATCGATCGTCGAACGCCCCTCTCGGAATTAACACAAACCCTATACCAACCCATCTGACCAACGTGGTATAGTTTAAAAGCTGTTGATGATGGATTGAATGATTAGCTGTTGCCTGAATGTAAAGGTTCTAGTCTTTTATTTTTGTTGTTGTTGACGGGGTGGAAAATCCCTTCGGATCTCCGGCTTCTTGGGAATGTGGTATGTGGTTTTTTCACTAAAAACCACCCTGTCGGCCGGACTCAGGTCGAGGACAACCCGGATCTGACCAAGCACTTGTGCTTGTGCCTCTTGTGGTGGTCACTGGGAGGCAGGTGATCCATCTGTTCCTTTCCCCCATGCATTAAAAAAATTGAGATTAAAAAGAAATGAAAAAATAATATGTATTTAATTTCTTTCAGATTCGTGGATCTTTACCGAAAAGTTAACAAACTATCTGTTGTATATGAATATTTTACACGAAACGCGTTTACTTTTAGAGAAGACAACGTTGAAACTATGATGAGCAGAATGAATGATGCTGACAGGGCTATATACAACTGCAATCTATCTGACGTTGACTTAGAAGATTATATCCTAGTATGGGGCATTGGCCTTAGAAAATATATCATGAAAGACGGCCTAACAGGGACCAAAACAGGTATTAGAAAACAACAAATATTTGAAGTACTAGACACAATTTTAATGGCTTTGTATGCTTACGTTTTATGGTGGATCTGTTCATCGGTTTACTTCTTTATTAAATACATAATATTATTGTTTTAGTACATTGGTTTCATTTTAAACCTAGAAGTAAGTATCTAGAGAGACCTAACTCCTCTCTAAATATCGACGATCTCCAAAACTTACTGTCTCCAAACCAAAAAGTGCTGCCGTGCATAGACTATAATACCGTTAACCCACATCAGGTCGATATTTAGTTTTTAATTCCACCTTAATCAGAAAAAAAGCTCTATCGATCTGTATTTACGGTTTATTTTTATCTGTTTTTGTTCTCGACATAAAGATTTGTAGTTAAAATGCCGTTATATATTATTTTTTCATATGTGTACAACTCAAAAACGCAGTTAACTATATTTCATAACGTAAAAAGGGGCTAAGAGCCCTTAGTTTTTTTAATTAGGTTTCCGTACCTTAAAAGGTAAAAAAGGAACCCTTATAAGATCACTTTCTTGTCCGTCTGTCCGAGTGTCACCACCGATTTTCTTAGGAACGGGTAGACTTAGCAATTTAAAATGTATATCAGAGACTGAGGTCTATGGTCCCTTTGAAGTGTATAAAAATCAAGTTCCTGAGTCAACACGATAAAAAGATATGGGCAAATTTCGATTTTCGCGAAAACTTGTAAGTACCAAAATTTATCTTAATTTTCAACTTTTTTTTATTTTTCAGAATTTCCTCTTTACTTGTGCTGTAAGACCTTGCTTTTAACCAAAATTGCCAATTCTAGGTCAACCGGAAGTACCTTGTAAGTTTTGGGTTGAAAACCCAAATTAATATGGTAGTTCCCGTTGACCTAGAATCACGAAATTTTGGCAAAAAAAAACGTCTTACAGCACAAATCCGTACCGAGCGTGAATAGGTTGATAAGTCGAGTTACATATTTATTTTTTTAATGCATAATAGGCATTAGGATTGCTTCTTTCATAGGGTGAATAAATGACTAAGTCGATAGGTCTGTTTTACCGCACATAGCAAACATGTGTATTTTTGAATAACTCTCTTACTAAAGGGTACAATGTGACGTCTTGAGATATTAAAACATACAAATTGTAATTATTTACACAACTCAACATGTCAATATAATACTGCCAACTATTAATAAAAATTAACGAACAACACGAGATGTTCATTTATTCAAACAACCTACTTAACGTTTTTAATAGCATAAATCAAGTTGTCCAGTTATTGCCGCATCGAAATTGCGTTGTATTTTGTGACAAATAAATCTATCATCTATTACATTTTTATCCGTTGCGCATGTGGTGATATGTTAAATAGAGATAGCTGCAGTTTTGGCGGTTTATCCTTAAAACACGAATTCAAAACTAATAACAATTGTTTGGTTATTAATTAATTTTGGTTGGTAATTAGTGTAATACAATGGCGGCAAGAAGATACCGTTTTTAAGAAGAATTACGTGGAAAGTCATTAAAACATTCTCGTGAAAGTTTAGAAGATAAAAGTGCAGATTTAAATGAGTGTACGAGTGAGTGTCCAGGCTACGCAGAAGATATAACTGAAGGTAAGTAACTTATTGTAAATAGGTATTTTGTAAACTTGCCTCATTAGCTTCTCTCTCCCATTTAGGTACCTACTTTAGCAAAAAGTAGTTAGGTACCTAGTTGTGTTGGTTTATCAATTACTTTTATTGTTTCAGAAAATTCATGTAAAGAGAATTTACTACCATTGGAAACAAAAAATTATAATGAGTATCCTAATGCGTGTGCAGTTTATACAGACAATATACCTGAAGGTAAGTTACATAATAACATAACGTAACGCCTGTAATCCGTTAAGGGTTAGGCAGAGGTGTACCTAGCACCCACATTTCGCAGTTATTTAAATAGTTGCGGGTACCAAATAAACATTAAAAGAGGTAGCTGAGGATTACGAAAGGTTCCATTTTAACTGCGTTTTTGAGTAAAATCTGAATAAAGATTTAAGCACTCAACAAATCAGCAATGTAAACCTTGATGACGATCTACATCTTTCCGACGACAGGATCGCTGATCCGGACTATGAATTACCGAAAAAGTGCAATGAGTCTAATACAGATAGTGAGATAGAAGAACTAAGTATTCCAATAATAACTTCAGCCCAAGTTCACGTGACTTTACCATCCCAAGACCAAGATGAAAGTTTGTCTATTTTTAGGAGTGTTTTCGAGATTGATACATTTCATAGAAGTAGTCCAGTAAATAACAATCCTTCCAAAAATAATCTAAGTTCTCCCATAGATAGAATAGCAGTTACTAATGACGAGACCATATGCAAAGTGCTGCCTGTTGTCTCAGAAGATCAAATTCATACTAGAAAAAGGAAAGGTAGATCAAGGAAAAAGAGAGAAGAATGTAAAAGACTAAGAAATTCTGGTCAAAGCTACGTTACAGAAAGGTAAAGAAATTGCTGCGAGGCAAATACGAGCACTTACTTTTGTAGACTGAAATGTATTGAGTGGTTTTCTGAATTCGAAAGAAAGGTGTGCTTTGATGAATATTGGAATCTAGGACGCAGAGATCGACGAGTAGCGTATATTGCCAGCCATATTACCATATTACCGAAGAAAACACAGAAAACCGACAGCAGAACAATTAATAGGGATTGCTATTGCAAATATACATTAACAATTAATAATGAAAGCAGACCAATTTGTAAAGATTGTTTTTGCAAAACTTTTGGGGAAACTAAAGGTTTCATTAACATTGTAATAGATAAAAAAAACACTCCACAACCGGAATCCTTCCAGCTGATACAAGAGGACATCAGCCACCTTTCTATAGCTGCTATGTATCGTTTATATAGAGAAAGTTGCCCAAATCCTATTTCACTTAAATTGTATTCCCAGTGTTTTCACGATTTAAACCTATCATTCAAAAAACCGGCTAAAGATACTTGCCACACATGCGATCTTTTGAATACAAAGATAGCATTAGCTGAAGGAGAGGAAAAGACCAACTTTATAGAAGAGCTGGGTGAGCATCAATCACAAGCCGAAACCGCTTATGCAGCAAAAAAAAAAGGACAAAGATGAAGCAAAGCGCAATTCAAATTTTCGAGCTTATGCATTTGATCTTCAGCAATGCTTACCTACGCCATTCCTGAAAACGTCCGTCTCTTTTTATAAGAGACAACTATGGTCCTACAATCTTACAATTCATAACTTAAGAGATGATAAAGCTACTTGTTACATGTGGGACGAAACCATCGGTGCTCGAGGAGCAAATCAAATTGCTTCGTGTTTGTGGCATTGTTTACAAAATTTGCCACCTCAAGTTACAGAGGTCACATTTTATTCTGACACGTGTGGTGGCCAGAATAAAAATAACAAGAAACCTTACGGAGAAATACGTTTTAAGACAATTCTTAACAACGAAAGCTCTTTTAGAGTCATCAATTACAGGAAAAGAGGTAAATTCAATTTAGACACTATAGAATTAGAACTTGTTTCAAAAGAGACTTTACCAATGAGTAAAGTATAAGTAAAGAAAAAAATAAGGATTTGATGGATTTATTGCCACTGATAGATCCCATTTTTCACGAATTTTATAAAAACATTTAAACTGATAGTGACGTATCCAACATCTATCCTGATTTAGACTCCGAAGACCCTGATGCAGGTGGAAACGGAGAAGAATTTAACTAATTCTATAATATTTTAACTTTGTTTTCGGAATAAAAATAATTATTTTGCAATTGTTTGTTTCTTAATTACCTATACATACCTATACACATACTCAGTCCCATAAGAGGTAGGCAGAAACTATACTTATTCCTTTTGATTTTTTTACACACGTACTTCCCTTAAAGGTACTTAGGTGAACAACTTGATAACTCATTGGTGAACAACTTGATATGTCATTTTTTTACTGTAAATACAGTAAATTCATTAAATATTCTTATGTTATCTGAAAACTCCAAGCAAATGAATTACATTCAGATAAAAAAGTATTCAATAACATAAAATCAGAATTTACAGATAAAACTTAAATTTAAAAAATGCTGCCCTGAAAAATTAGTATTTTCGATTTGTCAAGTTATTCACGCCTGGTACGGAAATAAAGGCATAATTCCAAAAAATAAAAAAAGTTGAAAATTAAGATAAATTTTGGTACTTACAAATTTTCGCGAACATCTACGTAAAATCTCGAATCCTCGGCGCACGAGTTTGACTCGTACCTGACCGTTTTTTTTTCTGTAAGTTACAAAACTAAATTGTAGTTAACTGATTTTTGTACTCAAAAGTGCTGTTAAAACACTAACTTTCTTGTAGATCAGCATTCTGTTATTAAGAATGTAGCTACTCCAACACCATAAAGCCGTTAAATAAAAATACTAAGCGTAAATGTTATATATGTTTTGTTTTTACGCGTAATTTGTTAAATATTAAAAGTATTTTTCAATTATTATTTTTTTATTGTGGTTTATTTATTAGTTCTTTTTTTTTAATATTAGTGAATTCATCTAAATATCTAATTTTTTTTTTAAGACGTCTTAATATTTTGTTTTTACTAAGTATTTATTCTATTAAATATTTACTTTATTTTCAAATATTAAACGCTTGTATTTTATATTTTTGTTTTATTTTTTTATTTTATTTTTTCTAAATTGAGTATTCATATAAATACAACGCACCTTTTTTTTATTACTTGTTTATCATTAATTTTTTGTCTCTTCTACTATGTGTGTTTACTTACGTGTTACTTTG